AAGACAGATGCCGAACACTCTCCAGTAAGCCACAGCCTTGTGCCAATACACAGATTAGTAAAAATGGGTTCATTTAAGATGTAAGAGGGCTTTTGTTTGTTGGTTGGTTTTGTTTTTTCCTGACAGGGTTTCTCTGTAGCTTTGGCACCTGTCCTGTGACTAGCTCTTGTAGAAAAAGCTGGTTTGAACTCAACAGAGATCTGACTGCCTCTGCCTCCTGAGTGCTGAGATTAAAGGTGGCTGGCCCATAAGAGTTAGTTAATAAGAATCCTGAGCTAATAGGCTGAATAATGTTGTAATTAATATAGTTTCTGAGTGACTGCAGCCAGAAAATGAATGAGCAATCTCCTTCTACAAAATGGTGTCCATACATTTGAGGCTAACCTGTATGGCCAGTTAGCATGCTTGTTTGCCAGGTTCTTGTATGATATGCCTGCTCGGGGTTAGGAGGAAAATAGCTGAGAGAATGCTTGCTGCTCAGCACCCTTGCCTGGAAAAACAGCTAGATCAAGTCTACTGGGCATGCACAGGCAGGAAAGTATAAGATTACCACGGCAATACGTGAAGACATTTTCAGGTTGCACAGCACGCTGCATGGCAGATTTAACTTTTACTCAGACAAAGATGACTTATGTGATGCACAGTGCTTACCAGAGCTGAGATGGTGAGCACTGCTCCCACACAGTAGTACCAGAGCTGGCAGCAAACGTACTTCTGCCATATTGATAGGCCAAAAGAGGTGGAGCCAGCATCCACTGCTTATCATTTTAAAATGTTCCTTGTCAGAAAAAGCTTTCAGATACACAATAGGACAGATTCAGACATGAAAGACCTCTAAATGAAACACAGTGTGTTTTAAAATGTAAATAAACTTGAGAGAAAGGAAAAAAAGTATAGAAAATTATAAAAAGATGTAAAGTCTTTAAAGAGACAGTTAATGTAATATAAAAGAGTACAGACAGTCATAGATTAAAGGATTGAAGCAAAATAAGCCACATAAAGATGGAAAATACATAGACTCTGGATTATGGATATTATTGTATTTTCTTTGAATTTTTTGACTGCAGAGAGGTATTTGTTTGTGAGTGCTGATAAGCTAAACCAATACACATATTTTAAAGGTATCTTGATTTCAAAATTTGTGTCTAAGGATATGTTTCTTTGGAAAAGAAGTTCTGTTTTTGTTTCCACAAAAGATGAGAACCTGTGAATTCCTTCCAGGCTAATGCTTGATGGAACAAAAACCTCACAAAAGGTCTCTGTGAACCCTAAAAATACTTCACCCAACAAACAGCTGGAAGCATTTTAGAGAAAACCATGCCCAAATTCCCTGAATGGTTGTTTATAAATATGTATTTTTATTCAAAGGGGGATATGATCTGGAAATGAATACTTTGCATTGGTATAGATCTTGGTCTATTGATACAAATTTAAGGTCAATTTTATTTCTGTTCTTGTTTTAAGGTATTGTGTTTGTGCAGTTCATTTAAAAATGTCATATATAATTGAAAATTGCAGGTTAATAGATAGTCATAATAGTCAAACTAGTAGTCATGTTAGTTAAGTTTTCCAGATATATTGAGATATATTTCAGTTAGATGGAAAATCTACAACACTTCAAAGACCTACAGAACATGACATTTAAAATGTTTTAAGAACTTGGACTTTTCTTGACAGTGAGGCATGTCTGCTCCTGGCAGCACCAATTACTTCAGAGAGATTGATGGGTATTAAAGAAACTTGCTCTTGCCTGGACTGTATTATGGAATGCTATATGAACTGGACAGGCAGGACCCACAGAAAAGTGACTTCTGAATTTGCCAAAAGATGGGATAGTCCTTCAGAGTTCTTGCTTTGGAGAAGAAACTTCTGCCAGACATTGTACAGGACACAGAAGAAAACAACTGATGAACTTTGCTATTACAAAGAAGATCAAAGTATGCCAGATACTATTGGCCTATAAGCTGAAAAGGGATGCCTGAACATTACAGAAGAATTTTGGGTGACAAGGCAGAAAGATGTCTCTGTCAATTCTAGAGTTTTAGAAGTTGCTTATAAGGTACTTCCTGTTTACTTAGGTAATATATCTTTCTGGGGTCTTTGAAAAGTTGAAGACAGATAGTTATAGTTTTTCTTAGTTATGATAAAAGATAAATTAGATATAAAACCTTAGACTCACAAAAATATAGATGATAGGATATTTTCTTTAAATTTTTGCCTTATACAAATAGACTATAATAACTATAATTCTTGATTGATAACAGTTTTGTTATATGTATTTTTACTATGTTAAAGTTAAAATTTTCCTTTTTAATTAAACAGAAAAGTATGTCCTTCTGTATATTTGTTGCTTATATTTGTTCATGAATAAAGCTGTTCTGGCCAATGGCTTAGTAGAATAAAGCCAGGCAAGAAATTGAAACAGAGATATAAAGAGAGAGTAGGCAGAGTCAAAGAGATGCCATGTAGCTGATGAAGGAGACAGATGCTGGACACTTACCAGTAAGCCACAGCTTCATGTTGATACATAGAATAATAGAAATTGGTTAATTTAGATGTAAGAGTTAGTTAATAAGAATTCTAAACTAATAAGCCAAATAGTGTTGTAATTAATGTAGTTTTGTGTGATTATTTGGGTCTGGGAAGCCAGGAAATAAATGAGCAATCTTCTTAAAAAAAAAAAAAAAAGGTTAGGGCTTGACAGGAAGCCCATTATTGGGAACCTGGCAGACAGCAATTTATTATTGAAAAGAAACCTGCTCCTAGGGTCACCTGGCCCATTGGGCTCAATGGGCCCATTGGCCTGAACCAGCCCAACTTAGCAACCCTGAGATATGATCCCTCCAAGGTGGTAAATGTAAGCCCCAAAACTCAAATTTGCCCAGGAACTCCCTCAGTAACCTTGAGACTAAAAGCCAAGGAGCTGCAGAAGCCAGTCCCTTGGAATTTGGTATCCTAGATGGAGGGCATTTGTTTCTTTACCATTCTTAGCCAGACATAGATAGAAACTGCTGGCTATGCCTAGACCCCAAACCCCTATATTATGTTGGGATTGGAACTAATCAAACAATAAGCTCCACTTCCAACCCTAACAGTTGTAAAAGGGGTCAGTTTAAGTTCATCCTGGGTTAACCTCCAAGGGAAGGTGACTGTTTAATGTCACCAAGATACCCCTATATCCAGGTACAGCAGCTTAACCCTGGGAATGGTGGTCGAGTGTATTTCCAGGTACCAAAGAATACCTGGCTTGCTTGCAGTAACAACATAACCAAGTGGGTGTCTTCTTATTGATTGCACTGCCAGAGAGCCCTTTCTTTTGAGTCTTTGTATATGTCATAACACAGGTGTGTGTCTGTAACAGAGAAGAGGGTAGAGTCCACTATGATGTAGACTATGGGCCCTTAACTCCTTATTTTTTCAGTCTGGAGCCTAGTAACTCTAATAAAAGCAACTTCATCCTGGACTCCTGGACAAGGGATACACACCCATGAAAGCCCCAATTTGATTTCTGTCACTTGGAACTAAAAACATCCTGACTCTCAGTGATAGTTGGGTATTCAAGAAGAGATGTCTAGATTTAACAATGGGCCATGTTGCAGAAGAAAGCGTGAATTTTCTTTCCCTCCTCCTCCCTTCCATATCTTATGCCAGTCCTCCACAAAACCCCAGCCAGCACATCATCATGCTTCCTCCTGGGTCCTCCGGAGTCTGTCAAATGAGGAGTGCTTGTGACTCAGTTTACCTTTCCTTTTAACTTAGTCGATTCCCCAAGACCAAGGAATAACTCTTGGTTTCTAAAAATTTGCAACAAAAAATTGAATTGGTTTTGGGAATTGATCTCTGACCACATAGCGAAGCAGCCAGAGGGGGGTTGATTTTCAGTTTCATACTCTCTGTGTTTCTGCTTCTCAGCCAGGTACCATATGGTGCCAGGTGTATGACTTATTTAGTAAGTATTGGCAGGCTAAAGGAAATAGCACATGTGCACGGCACACACACCATAAAATATGTAATCTCAGTCCTTAGGGGGTCTTCCGATGTGGCTGGGGACACAATCTCAGTAAGGTCTTTGGTTCATTTGGCATTCTAGAAGACAAGAATTGTGGCTCAGAGGAGAGAGGACCTTGGCGTTGGGGAGGGTTTGCCGGAATGTTTGAGGAAGGATGACAGCATTGGCTGGTTTGGTAAAGACAGGTGGGTTTTGGTGAGGGGATGAGTGGAGAGGGAATTGTAATGAGCATGGGGGTCCCTTCAGGACTGTGTGCCAACTGTGGATGCTATGGGTAGGGGGTCTGGCTGGTGACGGGGAGTCTCTCAGGGTAGCTGAGATCCCACTAACGCACAGCAGAAACGAAGCGGTTAAGAAGGCCCCCTCCTTTTCCACCCACATTGGGCCAAGATGAGAGGCCTTTGGCTCAGGCACAAAGTGATGGAGTTTGTATGTATGGTGGGTGTAAGCGCGCGTGTCAGTCTGCCAATCAGTGTGCCAGTACCTTGAAGTTTGTCTGCTTGTTTAGGAACTTCTAGTTTTAAGTGACACAAGCCAGGTGCAGAAGCTTTTCTTTTATTTGTTTGTTATTGTTTTGCAGAAGGAGACAAGTTCCTTCAAGTTAAAGGCTGATTCTGGGATTCTTCAGCCTTGACTCCCACCCATGCCCCCCTGCACCCCAGCTCTGTTCTTTCCTGTAGAGAGCTAGGCAGAGAGCCAGACAGGAAAGGGGCAATGTGTCTTGCCAGCTTCCCAGCTCCGCTCCTTCTTGCACCAAGAGACCAGCGGTGACCTCTCTCCTGGGTTTCTGCCTCCTTTCATCTTCCAGTGTCCTCTTCCAGATTCCCCTGCAGACTAATTTTGGGGGAAAACACCCCGTTTGTTGGTAAAAGGCCTCTAGCGGGGCATCTGTCCCTGAGTAACCTCCTCGTCCACCATGGCCTGAATGTCCTTGGCAGCCCTGAGGCCAGACTTGATGGCAGTATCTATCCAGCCGTGGGGCAGGCTGGTGTGCTCTCCAGCAAAGTGGATGCGACCCTCTGGCTGGGAGAGCTGCTTCAAATAGTCCACAAATTGGTAGGGTGTGAACTCAGCAAAGGCACCAATGGTGAGGGGGTCTAGAGACCCCCAGTGCTTGACAGTTGCTTTTGGGCACATGCACTTTAGCTCCTCCTTGGGTATGTGGTACACAGCAGCCAGATCATCCAGGATAATATTCACTACCTGGTCGGGCTTCATGGCAGCAAAGAAGAAAGAATCATCGCCCACAGTGTAAGAGGCCAGCAGCATGCCCTTGCCACCTGGCAGGCTGTGGCTGGGATAGATAATGTAGCGTGAGGGCCGGTCTGTGATGGAGTTGCCTCCCCGGATGCCATCCTGTTCCCAGAAGCATTCGTTGCACACGAAAACCACCTTGGTGGCACTGGTATAATGCACAGAGCGCAGGGCATGTGTTTTGTCTGGGGACAGGGGTGGCTGGAAGGTGATGAGGCGTGTGGCCTTGGCGGAGGCTGAGTTTATGACAGTCAGCAGTGAGTTTGCGCAGTGGGAAGATGGGCTCATCAGTGCGGTACAAAACTTCAACCTTCGGCCCGTTTCTCACCACTGCTTCTACTCTGGATCTCAGACGGATGGTACCAGACTTCAGACTAGCATTGAAGCCATTGGGGAGTTGATCAAAGCCACCAGTGATCTCTGAAAATCTGCAGGGGTGGAGAAGGGATGATGAGACTGGAGACACTGCCAGGTCGTGTATCCCAGTACTGGCCATTCCTCTGGTCTGAAAAGGGAAGAACCTATCCCCCTGCTCTCTCGTGTGAGACACTTTATAAACATCACCTTCATGAATATACACCCCTGTGTCATGCAGGCATTGTTACTTGAGTGCCCCCCTATATGGTAAATACCCAATCAACCAGTGCTAGGGACTGGGTTCTTCCTGGCCCTAAATCAGCCTTACTCATCAGTTCTGGAGAAGGTATTAGGACTCCTTAGGGACTCCAGGAGGGACTTGTGGTGTCCAGGGTCCTCGTTCAACAAATCCCCGATCATCTTGGTTGCTCCTTTGCTCAGCTTTCCTTCCCTCACCAGAAAAGCCTGTGCAGAGGGGCAGCATAGATGCAAGGATGGGTTAGAGGGTCTAGCTTGTAGGGAAGCTTTAGCAGGGTTAGATGGGGGCTTGAGGGAGACAAAGGTTTTGGCAGTAGGAAGAATGCATTCTGTAGACAGGACACTGCCCTAGGGCCTTGGCTGAGCACAGAGGCTGTCACTCCACCACCATCTCCTGGGGCCCCTTGTTTCACTTACCTTGGTAGAATAAGAGTCATAAAGGGACATCAGTTGGCTGCAGTTGGATGTCTTCACATCTTGTTTGATCTGCAGAAAGGAGGAGAGATATTCATCAAGCCGGGCTTCCAGGTGACCAGGACATCTAGGCTGCTGTCAACAAGGTCACAGGGCGACAGATGCTTCACATGCTTTTTAGATTAGAGACCAGGTTCTTGGGATGTCCCTCGGAGAGGCTGGGAAAGGGCCATTCCCAGAGCTCCTGGACGCTGCTCCATCCCTTCATTTAAAGACACTCGTGCTTTTGTTGAGACAGGGTCTTACACAGCCTAGGCTGGCTTCAAACTCACTGTATACCTGAGGCTGCTCTTCAACTCTAGATACTCCTGTTTCTATCCCCCAAGTACTGGGATTAAAACCTTGTATTACCACACCTGACTTGAAACAAAAGACCTGTTCAAGATGAAAATTTAAGGTGAATATTCAGTTGGAAGAACACTTGCTGTACAAGACTGAGGACTTGAGCCTTATTCCCCAGTATCCATATAAAATTAGGGTGTGTTGGCGCTGGAGAGATGGCTCAGTGGTTAAGAGTACTGGGTGTTCTTTCAGAGGACTTGGGTTCAATTCCCAGCGTGCACATAGCAGCTCACACCTGTCTATAACTCCAGTTCCAGGGGATCAGACACCCTCATACAGATATATATCTGGGCCAAACACCAATGTGGATCAAATTTTTTTAAAAAAATCATGGTGTGGTATCACATGACTGTAATGCCAGCTCTGTGAAGGTAGAAACAACAGGATCCCTGGAGCTTGCTGGTCAGCCATTCTAGCAGATTTGGTAAGCTCAGTTCAGTGAAAAACTCTGCCAAAAATAAAATAAGGTGGGAACAATAGAAGAAGACAGCTGATGTTGACCACTGGCTTCGACACAAATATGCACATGCACCCACATTTACCTAAACATATACATACATATACACATGCACAGGCACATGCGTACGCACAGACAGACACCCAAGCACAGACGCTTTAAGATAAAGACTTTCACTATCATCTAGCATGACTACTGATTCACTACCGAGGGCTGCCTAATCTAGTTGCCCCTTTCTTACACTGCTGCTGACCACGTCCTGTTTCCTAGTTTGCTCAAAGACAGAGGAGAAGGGTTGAGGGTGGAGTTGAGGGTGGTGACATCATTAAGAGATGTGATAAGGCAGGAGGACCAATCATAAGAATGTTGGGTGGAGTCAGCTGATCTGAATCCAGGTACTGATTTGCTGTGTGACCTTAGGCACCACCCCTTTCCTTCTTGATCCCAGCTGGGAAAGGCAGCAGGTAGCAGGTACCTTAATGACTGCTTAGTCAAAGAGGTTTTGGGCAGTTTTGTTCTTCTCTGAGGGGTCCGTGGAATAGCCCAAGATCTCTGGGTTAGCTTCGACTTCCCAGGCACGATAATGCTGTCCATTGAATAGGTACCAGGTGTTGTTATCATGCTGAATGAACTTATTCATCTTTAGGCCAAACTTCTTGACATAGGCGTGGGTTAGCCTTGAGACAGAGATAGGCATAATAACATCCTTGTTCCTTCTGGCCCCTTATTAGAAATGATTCTGGTCTAATTAGGGTAACCTTGTACCTAGGAAGCTCAAACTACTTGTTCAATTGTAATCTCATTTAATGTTGTGGGGATTAGCTCCCCACTTCCCAAGGCTGTGGAGGGTGAGAAGTTCATTGAATTAAGGCTGTTTAGGTGTGGCGGTTGGATTAATGAAGACCAATGATAATAGGTATTTGAACAAGTTTAATGACAAAACCAGACTCACGAAACCAAGGTTCCAGCGGAGTACCCGGTGCAGGCAGTAAACATACGCCTGAGGGCAGCCCGCCCCCAAGGGGAGGGCTTATCCCTACATCTCCCTCTTTTTGTCTAAATAAGACAGAACTAACCTAAATACAACTATAAACAATAATAATAAATAATATATATAACAAACAATATTGAGAACGAAAGTTATGATGTGGGAGTGATTTCTTATTAATAAAGAAACTGCCTAGGCCCCTTGATAGGCCCACCCTTAGGTGGGTGGAGAAAACAGAAGAGAATTCTGGGAGAAAGAAGCTTAGTGAGGGAGTCGCCATGATGCTCCCACTCCAGACAGAAGCAGGTTAAGATCCTCCCTGGTAAGCCAGCTCATGGGCTACACAAAATATTAAAAATGGGTTAGAACAATATGTAAGAGCTAGCCAATAAGAAGCTAAAACTTATGGGCCAGACAGTGTTTAAAAGAATACAGTTTCCATGTAATTATTTCTGGGCATAAGCTAGCCATGCGGGCAGCCGGGTGCCGGGGACGCAGCCCTGCCGCTCCTAATGCAACATTTAGGAAATCTCAGCTAATAGTACTCAAAAGTATAGACAGATGTCTTTTGTTTCAGACAGCATTTGAGATCCCACCATGCAATTCTAGGTAAATTGGAGGCCGTATTTAATGACTCCTAGTTTGGGCTGATGCAGTTGTTTGTGTTTTCGCTGGTTTGGAGGGTGAGCGTGGGTTCAATTTATATTAAAGGCAATCAGGAAAAGAAAAAGAGAAGAGAAATGTCTGTAGAGATAGGGTCTAGAGCAAAGTTAGTGCTCAACAAATGGTAGATATTATTAATAGCAATGTTATAATTTCTTAGCTTGCTTTGATGTAACTGACAAATATGAAACTACCCATATTTCCACGCTACAGTTTAATGAGTTTGTAGTAATGATTGTAATTATCCGTTTGTAATTATTCCTGTGACCACGGCTTTCTGTGACCTCAGTCTTCTCTCTGACATGGAAGTTGAGTATCAGCCCTGATTTATTGGGCTGGATCGCATGACACAGTGAGTCTGAAAGATCTTAGACATGATGGCAGCAGGCTCCCTCCTGCCTTCCCCCTTACTCCCACTATACCCCTTTTCTCCTTCTTTTGTACAGGACTTACTTGTGGCTTTCTGGAATTCGCATTGGTCCTAGTTCGAAGTACCACCCTTCTGTCTTTTTTTTTTTTTTAATTTTATTTTATTTTTTTTCTTTCTTTCTTTCTTTATTAAATATTTCTGTCTCTTCCCCACCTCCGCCTCCCCTTTCCCTCCCCCTCCCCCAGTCCATTCCCCCTCCCTCGTCAGCCCAAAGAGCAATCAGGGCTCTCCGTCCCGTGGGAAGTCCAAGGAAAACCCTCCTCCGTCCAGGTCTCGTAAGGTGAGCATCCAAACATCCTCAGGACCGCGAGGGGTGCACCCACACACTGAGACAATGGAGATGCTCTATCGGGAACTCACCAAGGCCAGCTGACCTGGGTCTGAAAAAGCCTGGGTTAAAACGGGTCTCACTGAACATAGCGGACAATGAGGACTACTGAGACATCAAGAACAATGGCAATGGGTTTTTGATCCTACTGCATGTAGTGGC